CTTATGACAATCATGTCAGGGTTTCTTGGGTATAAAATACTGATAAATATTGTTCATCATTCCGTATAGTGAATGATCAACAGACAGATCATTGTGAAAGACAGCTTTTGAACAAAATGGGAATCCAATTTCTAGTACATCTATTTTGTTTGCTACTTCGCTGTCTTCCACAGTGGTGCTGTGAGGATGCCTGGGATATTGCTCCTGGCCGTTGTCCCAGCTGAGCTTTATCTAAGCTGCTGCTGCTGTCTCGCATGCCTAAGTTGAGCCTGTCGTGTTTAACCTTCAAAGTATGAAACAATAAAGGAGAAAGGAAGGAAATGACTCATGTTCACATTTTGACTTTGATAGAGGTTTGAATTCGGAATTTCATGTACCAGGAGAACAGGGTGAATGCAATGCAAGTAATGATGACATAACAGTTGATCTACGTGAACTTTAAAGTCCAGATTTGAACATAGGTTCTTTCCCGTCAGGCTAATTGCAAAATGAGAGAAACTAAGGGGCAGGGACGGTCACTTCTGGAAAGACAAGAGAATGACCCTTTCTTCTCTCATATTGTGACCACCTCCCTCCATAAAACATCATCTCACCCTTTCTAGAACAACTTTGACCACTGAGTTACAGGGTTACAAACAGTTCCTTTTAAGATGCAAAATCTAGTTTCATGCTTGCCCTTGCAGTAAAGGGATGTGTGAGAAACATACCATAGTGTCTTCCTTCCTTCCTTCCTTCCTTCCTTCCTTCCTTCGGGTTACAAACAGTTCCTTTTAAGATGCAAAATCTAGTTTCATGCTTGCCCTTGCAGTAAAGGGATGTGTGAGAAACATACCATAGTGTCTTCCTTCCTTCCTTCCTTCCTTCCTTCCTTCCTTCCTTCCTGTCTATTATATTAAATCTCTTCTTCGGTCTTCCAAACTGTAGGTCACTGCTTCTTTAATTTGGACGGTCCATCTCATATCCCGTCTTCCTCTTTTCTTGCTGCCTTCAACTTTTCACATTGTCTTCTATATGGAATCTATCCTTCTCATAATATTTAGTTTTTAAATGCAAAGTTTGCTTTGTATTTAGCAACTTGATGAAGCAGTAAACAAAGTCATGCATAATTGAGCAAAGGTCAGTTAAATTCAACGTTGCTTCTCACATAGATTGGGCTTCATAATGGGTGCTAATTACCTTTACTGCCACCATTTCTTATATCAAACCTGCTCACTGTCAGGACTCGAAACAGGCTGAGAGTGAATCACAACACATTTAAGTGTCTGCTTTCTCTGTTATCAGAGCAGCTCATGTACTCAGAGGAAAGATGCTTCATTGCCAAAATATAGGGAGGAGCATGTCACAAACGGCCAGATTCAGGGAGTATTCCTACAAGTCTCTGGCAGGCTCCTACATACACCGTAGTTTAAGGAAGGAAGGGAACAGCAGGTGTGTTCTCCACTTTGATCCTTGTCTTTTTATATAACCAAGGTCCTGTGCAAGGAAGGCACAGCTTTGCCTCTCCCTCCACTTTTCTGGGTGGGTTAGCAGGCTTGAGAAATGGGAGAGGATGACAAATAGAAGTTTTGCTAGCAAGCCCAGCTGGCGTTTGGGAGCCCTGCCTAGGGCAACAAGAGCGGAACAGAATTGGTTGCCAGACACAAACCTCAAGACTCATCCTAGCATTTGGTGGCTTGCACAGAAAAATTAATCCCGGGCTTGGCGGCAGCTACACACAACCTTCAGGCCACAGGCAGGAAGCTGGCACATGCTGGGTTTTCAAGTGGCTTTCCAGGGGTTCCTATGTGCTGGGTGGCCATGTGAACCAACTGTAAATCAGGAGGAAACAGGTTACAGCGGCTGGCATTTTTTTTATCAGTAAGGTCTTTTTTATTAGGAGGAAAAAAAACTGCTGTCTTGAATGAAGTAAGTGTGGTCTTAATTGCCCAAGCAACCACAGTATCAGGCAGCGATCTACCTGTCAGTGCTTCGCTTTCTCCGTTTCCATCACCAGCTATTTTTATTATCTTTCTCCTTCTGGAAAAAAGCTTCTGGAAGAAGAAGATGAGAAAGGGGAAAGGGTGGAAGGCATTAGTGCTTCACCTACCGTAGTCCTCCAGCCTGTTTCTCACCTACTGCACTTTCATTTGAAAATCCCAAGGGACTCGATCTCATGGCGTATGAATGTTCAGCTGCGAAGCGTTCGTGGCTTGTGTCAGCTGATGGCAGAAACAGACGTCGCAAGGATACAAAAATACATTTGTGTTGGATTCAGACACATTTCTGTGCTTGAGAAATTGGGCTTCTGGTGCTTAAATCTTGAATTATGAAATAGGCAAGCTGGTTTGGGTCAAGTGGGAATTGGAACGCGGGCCTCTCGAATCACAGCCCCAACACTTTATCCTCGACACTGGCTTGCTGTTATTATATAATGCAACAAGGCACAGCACAACACAACATAAGCATCTTATATGTAAACACGCAGCCTTCTCTGCATTAGTAGCAGGACTAAAGGTCTTCTCATGGCCGTGATCCTGGCAAAGGTAGGACACCAATGAGACCTCTTATTCAACATTTATTTATGCAACAGGACTGACATTACTCTTTAATGTTTTAATAACATGTGCCATCAAGACAATTCTGACTTATGGCAACCCTTTTCAGGGTTTTCCAGATAAAGAATACCCAGAAATGATTTACCATTCCCTTTGTCTGTGGGTGCCCTGGGACTTTGAAGCTCGCCCAAGGCCACACAGCTTGGCTCTACTCATAGGAGGCGCAGTGGGTAAATCAAACTCCCAACCTCTGGCTCCACAGCCAGATACCTAAACTACTGAGCTATCCAGCCAGCTACATTTTGTTTTAATTTAATTTAAATGTTTATATTCCTCCCCCCCCCCTCGGATCTGCGGTTTACTAAGGATCCCCTTTTGCTCTGGAATCCTTAGGATGGGCAGAGAGGGGTGAGCTTTTCATATTAGAAAATCTTTGACAGCCATTCCACCATTAGAACAGGACCACTAATGGCAATCTGGTGGCAGTTTTCTGATATGAAAGGTTTCACCCCAAGACCCTGAAAGACTCCCCCATGTCAAAAGAGACCCCTTAGGGAACCTTGGAGCCTGAAGGGGAAGAATAGAAAGTTTTACATTAAACTAAGACAGAGTAAAGTGATGACATCGTGCTCATTGCATGGCATAAAATTATGACAACTGGATTTAGATAGGGTGGTGAGTACTGATGGTGGTGTGCATGGCATAAAATTATGACAACTGGATTACAGCCAAAGTGTATTTAGATAGGGTAGCGAGTACTGGTGGTTGTATATTTGCATCTCACTCCTCCTTCAGTATACTATTTTATTTTCTGCACAAGAATCATAGGATATTGGATAGGATAACAAACTGTGTTATATAAGGTGAGACTGCAAGCCCATCTTGAGTACCAATATGTTCTCCAAAATCTTGAGCAAAGGACTTCCCCCTTATTTGCTTCCTTGGTCATCTTAGTTGCCTAGGATTGAACCTGGTGATTTCTGCATGCTACAGTGTTTGGTCCCCGAAGGAGGATATAATTTTGTCCAGTCCTGTCTGACTCTAGGGGGCGGTGCTCATCTCCGTTTCCAACCCATACAGCTAGCATTTGTCCGCAGACAATCCTCCATGGTCACATGGCCAACATGACTAGACACGGAACGGCGTTTACCTTCCCACCAAGGTGGTACCTATTTATCTACTCACATTTTTGCATGCTTTCGAACCACTAGGTTGGCGGGAGCTGGACAAGCGACGGGGGCTCACTCCGTCACGTGGCTTCAATCTTACGACTGCAGGTCTTCTGACCTTGCAGCACAGAGGCTTCGGCGGTTTAACCTGCAGCGCCACCACGTCCCTGAAGGAGGATATAGTTACCCAATAAGCCTTATGCATGGGATTTTCAGACCATTTGAGCCACACCAACAAGAGAGCAAAGAAACAAGTAACAAATGGATTTGAGTCAGTGATTTTGATTCAACTGTGTTCCACTAGTTCCCATATTAGGAAACCAGTTAAGCAAATTCCTCCCTTCCCACTGCCATAAGGGGACTGAAAATGTTTAAGTTTGGCAGCATTGCCCATTTTTCAGTTGTTTCTTCACTGCCTTGCTAGGGAGCTAGGAGTGGTCTATCCCTTTATGAACAACTAACGGTCCTCCTGTCGTGATCAGAACATGGCCATCTGTTCTTCATTGCCTCTTTGAAAATGTTGTATCTGGCTATAGAGTGAATATGGCAAACACACCCATGCTTTGGTTCCTCTCAAAACCAAGGCGAAGTAAGCCGGGCAGTAATTTGTTTGGGTTTGTACAAAACAGCTCTCGGATGAGGGTTTCTTTGAAGTGCTTCCCACAAACGCGGCTTGCATACGAATAGCAACGGGACAAAATGTCAAATTATACACTTTTTAAAATGAGCGTATTGGTCTAGGAGACATTTAAAAATGCATATCTTGAAAAAAATATATTTGGTTGCATTCAAAGTGGGCCATTCTGGTCTAACTTCCTGCAGCTGTGGAACATCTGCAACAAATAAGCAGATGCCCAATTGTTGCATGAAAGATATACTTTAAGCATAGAAGGGGGTTGACCTCTCTAAAGCCATACGTGTTATACAGCTGACCTCTTTGTGCAGGGTTTGTCAAATGCTTGCTGGCATAAATATCAGTGAAAATCATTGACTGTCTGCGTCTCCTTTGGTGTATCTAAGGGGAAGCTGCACCTGTCCAGATCTCTAATCCATCATATTTTCATAAACGATCATAAATCAAATTTTCTTTCTAGATGGGAATTCCATAAAGATTAGACACTTTTTTTTAAAAAAAAAGGCTTGGCTCTACAGGTGGAATAAGGTTCAAAATCAGTATCATATGCAATAAAAGTTAGTGAATCTTTAAAATATAAAGGCAGCTTAATTTAAGAGGATTTCATGTCACACATGTTGCACAACATGAGTAAAAAATTTTGTTGTTTTCCTCATCTCCCAGGTTTATCCAGGGGACAACACAACACGGACTCCAATCAAAACAGACCTCTATCTGCAAGTGGTTATCTATGACCATGTCCTCAGAAGAAAGCTCTGATGACCAAGTCTCATGAGCAGGAAATATTGGGGATGACGTCTTTGATGTGTGTGGCACAAAGGGACTGAAGGAGTCATTTTCAATGCAATAGACACCTCTTAGACCACTACATCAAGATCTATGATGCCTGATGCCTACCTTCTTGTGGCTATTTATTAAAAAGAGTTTTGCTTCTCATTCTGCATGGGCAAGAGAGTGTTTTAAATTATTTCACAGCTCTAAAATGCATTGTAACTGTATGCATTACAATATACATTGTAATGTTATTTTATATTACAATTTTATATTACAGTTTATATTACTATATTAACTTTTCTTTACTTTGTGCCCTACAAATATGATGGACTGCATTTGTCCTGTCGTGCACCTAGAAGTCTTCAAATTCAGGGAGGCTTCTTTGCACCGTGTGTTGTTCTTGTTGTTGTTTAGTTGTTAAGTCGTGTCCGACTCTTCGTGACCCCATGGACCAGAACACACCAGGCCCTCCGGTCTTCCACTGCCTTCCAGAGTTGGGTCAAATTCATGTTGGTTGCTTCGATGACCCTGACCATCCATCTCGTCCTCTGTCGTCCCCTTCTCTTGCCTTCACATTTTCCCAGCATCAGGGTCTTAGAGTGTATTAGAATATAGCAATAAAGATCTTCCCTTCCCTCCTTCTTTTCCTTACTCATGTTCTTTCACCTCAATCAGGAGCCCAGTCACAAATGGATTTTTGCCTCTCAAAGTGAACAATTCCTGTTGTCAACAGGGTTGGGATTCCTCAGGATGAGTAGGTTCTTCAAGGAGTTGTACTGCACTTAAAGAGATACTTAGGAAACAAACTCATTAAAGGCTGGCATGGCTCCGGTAACATAGCAAGATCTAAGCCATGTGGAAGGAACCCTAGATATGGCTTATTTTCCTGTCAGGATTTCTCAGATCACATTCTGAGCTAGGCATCTTGATATAACCAAGTCATATGCTACTAGGGGAAGATGCTACTAGGGGAAGATTAGAAACAGAATGTATGCAAATACTTCAGAGTTTATGTAGTTACCATGTGGTGACTGCTAAGATCAGCCCACCTGCTGGATACCACTGCAATGCTATAAAACCACTCCGGTGCAACACCTCCCTATGGTGATCACATAACTGAGGAATGGTGGTAGTCATGTTAATCTGTAGCAACAAAACCAACAAAGTGTCTTGTGACACTTTAAAGACTAAGTTTATTTGCATAAGGATTCACAGACTTCTAACCAGATTAGGCATCCTTCAGTCTCAAGAGACTATGGTAACGTGCCCTGTATGCAGGATTTGGAACAGCGTCTAGTGTGGCTGAGAGTCACAATCCCTTCCACACTGAAGACAAATACAATCTGTACCCCGTCTAGCTCCATGATTTTGCTGCCTTCATGACTGCGACTTTGCCTCGGCCTGCTGGACAAGTATCTCTTCAAATTGGGAGAGGCCATGATACAGAGACTATGATACTTCAGTCTCAAGAGACTATGGTAACGCGCCCTGTATGGAGGATTTGGAACAGCGTCTAGTGTGGCTGAGAGTCACAATCCCTCCACACTGAAGACAAATACAATCTGTACCCCGTCTAGCTCCATGATTTTGCTGCTTTCATGACTGCCACTTTCCGCTCTTCCAAGGACATTCATCCAGCATCTTTTCCATCGTATGTTGTACTCCATGAAACCAAACATCTATGGTTCTCTGTTCCTTTCTAATAACACTTTGTCTCAGATCTTTCCCAATATTTATTCCCTTTGTACTCCCTGAGTCAGAAAACAAATCTTCTCAAAGCTTGGGACAAGTATCTCTTCAAATTGGGAGAGGCCATGATACACCGCCTGCCTCCAGGCTGAATGCTCAGATGTCAAGGTTGAGTTCCATTCCTAAGGCCTTCAGATCCTGCTTGCATATGTCCTTGTATCGCAGCTGTGGTCTCCCTCTGGGGGCGATTTCCCTGCACTCATTCTCCATACAGGAGATCTTTTGGAATCCGACCATCAGCCATTCTCACAACATGCCCAAGCCAATGTAGATGTCGCTGTTTCAGTAATGTATAGATGCTAAAAATTCTAGCTCGATCTAGGACTACTCTGTTTGGAACTTTGTCCTGCCAGGTGATACCAAAAATTCTTCAAAATTATACTTCATCTGAACAAATAGGATGGAGTCCATGAAAGTTTACAACAAATAAATCTGTTAGTCTTTAAGGTGCTGTAAGAGTTAAAGATGGTTATTTTATTGCTTAAACGAAAGATCCAAAACCTGAAAGGGCTCTCTTTTGTGTTTTTCATGTTCTGACAATTGATGGAAGAGAGCCTCTAAAACAACAATGTTGTCCATCTAACAAGCTTATTCAGACCAGGGGGAAATGAAACCAACGTGGAGAATATATCAGGGGTCTCCTACCAACTCTCCTCAGACTAAAGAAGCTATTTGAATGAGTAGTCAAATGTTTCAACCTAATAGAAAGAAGTCCAGTTGCCATGACTCAACTTCCAGATAACCTCACCTGGATGACTGAGAATCTTCACAGATAAAACACAAATGGTTTATGCTTATGAAAGGGGCTGCATGAAAGTTTTGTATTTGCTCGTTCATGTAACTTATCTTTCAGTCTTTGCTGTCTGACAAATTACCTAAGAAATTTTTCATACAATAGCATTATGAGGACTGTCAACAGCCCATCAGAACATCCAGGGGAAGTGGGGATTATGAATCTGTAAAAGGGTCTAGAAACCAATGAAAAGTGCTTTTTGCTTCAGCTGTTCCTTGTGAGTGTGATCACTGCATGCTGAGCTCCTGTTTACTCCATCTTGGATTGCTATCTTCCTGTTTGGTGTGCCTGCATCATCGATCTTTTCCATTTTAGTCTCTTTTTTTCCCTTTAATTCTGGGGAATTTTTTCATCATTTCTTTGGGTTATTTTTGCTGCTGCCAGGCAGCCTGCATGTGTCAGCATGCTTCATTGGAATTGTTTGTTAATATCCCTTTGGGAATTTTTTTCCTTTCTTTGCTCCTTTCTGTTCTTGGATTATTTTTGCTGGTGCATGCCTGTGGTCAGCCTCCTGCTGCCTACTGGACTCAGAAAAGAGAAGAGGGCAATCGTGATGCGGGGGAGGGAAATATCCCCATATTCTAATAGTTTTGGTTTGGAGGGGGCTTTGTATTTTTTTAATTTCTATTTGCTTGCTTGGAATTTTTTTCCTTTCTTTGCTCCTTTCTGTTCTTGGATTATTTTTGCTGGTGCATGCCTGTGGTCAGCCTCCTGCTGCCTACTGGACTCAGAAAAGAGAAGAGGGCAATCGTGATGCGGGGGAGGGAAATATCCCCATATTCTAATAGTTTTGGTTTGGAGGGGGCTTTGTATTTTTTTAATTTCTATTTGCTTGCTTGTTTTTTTGCCATATTCTAATAGTTTTGGTTTGGAGGGGACTTTGTATTTTTTTTATTTCTATTTGCTTGCTTGCTTTTCTTCTTCTTGTTGTTGTTGTTTTAGAGTAAGCTGGGTGTTTGTTTTTTAGTGCTCCCTTCCCCATGTGTGTGCTTTCCCTATTTGACTGATTCTTTAAAAACTTGTTATTTGATTAATTTACAATATATTTATTCTGCACCTCATGGCACAGTGGTTAAACTGCTATAGTGCAGCCAAAACTGTGCTCACAATCCAGGGTTCAATCCCAGGTAGCCTGCTCAGGGTTGACTCAGCCTTCTATCCTTCCTAGGTTGGTAAAATGAGTACCCATCTCACTGGGGGAGGCAATGCATAGCCTGCATAATTAATTTTGTAAACCATCCAGAGACTGCTTGAAGCACTATGAGGTGGTATATAAGCAGCACGCTTTGCTTCCCCCCCCCCATTTTTAAAGGTATATGTTTTGATGGAGCTTTGGTGGGGACTGTTGCTTGTTTTGTGTGACCCAGTGTCACGTTCCCTGGGCATTATAGCAACAGCAGCCATCTAAACACCTCATCCTGCTAGTACTCAGCGCTGCTCAACCTGATGTTCCTGTGGGAAGCATTCATGCGGGCTTCGGATCTTCGTGTCATGAGCCCTTGCCGAAGCTTTTTCCCTCACTCTGACTACTGGGGGAGGAGAATCTGGTGGTGATTCAGCTGTGTGTGATTCTAATTGCCCAGCATTCTCCTCAGCTGTAATTAATTCTTCAGATTCCAGATCTTCTTCAGCAGAACTCATGACACCCAGTTGGATGGCCTTTGTGACTGTGCAAGCCACTGCACTTTCACTTGTTGCTCTTAGTGTTGTGTCATTGTTAGTTTTTGTGAGTGGGTGTATCTGTGTGCCATGCAGCTAGTGCCTGACTGTCTGGCTGTTTCCTTTCAGTTTTTATTGTATTGCTGAGTCCTAAAAGGCCACTGTTGTGCTGGGGGGGGGGGGGCGGCACTGAACCATTGAAACCATTGATAATATTAACTGTTGATAATATAAACTACTGCCTACATCATTCTGATGATGATTTTCTATTGCCTGATTTTGCAGTAGATTCTCTGTTGCCTTGTCTCTTTTTTTCTGGAGTAGGTTTTTTAAGGGTTTTTACAAGGTTTTTGGGTTACCAGAAAACACAGATGGGGAGACAGAAAATGAAGGCCCCCAAAGAAGCTTTTCACTTTTGTATTAAATAAAAGAAGTGATACACAACAAATACAAAAATGGAAGAGCCAGTTCCCACCCCCAAAATACATATTTTTGCCATGCATTTGCCTACTAAGATTCTTTGCTAGAATTTATCCATGCTACACTACTATCAAAGGGCTTCTCTTTATTTCTCATCTGCCAATGATGCTTTAACTATGGATTTCCTGCTTTATCAAGGGCTTGGGCTTGGTGGCTGTTGGAGTCCTTTCCAGCACTACAGTTCTATGCTTTTACAGCTGGTCTGCGTGTACAAGGGGGGACATGGTGGTGCTGCAGGTTAAACCGCAGAAGCCTTTGTGTGCTGCAAGGTCAGAAGACCAGTCATTGTAAGATCGAATCCACGCGACAGAGTGAGCTTCCATCTCTCATCCCAGCTCCTGCCAACCTAGCAGTTCAAAAGCATGTAAATATGAGTAGATAAATAGGTATCACTACGGTGGGAAGGTAACAACGTTCTGTGTCTAGTCGCACTGGGCATGTGACCATGGAAACTCTACGGACAAATGCTGGCTCTATGGCTTGGAGACAGGGATGAGCACCACGCCCTAGAGTCAGACACGACTGGACTAAATGTCAAGGGGAGCCTTTACCTTACAACCTGGACTAAATGTCAAGGGGAGCCTTTACAAGACTTCATTTCCATTGGAACTGTTCAGGTTACAAATAGGAAAGACATTTTAGTGGGAACAGAGTGGGCAGATAATGTCAAGGGACTTCTGTTTGCTTTCTTAAACTTCAACTAAACAAATTTGGTCTATTGGCATTCTTTTCTCTTTATTTAACATAGGAAGTCAGAAGCTTCA